TACCTAACTTTAAATTTACTACAGAGCTATAGTAACCAATACAGCATGGTACTGGCATAAAAACAAACACATAGGCCAATGGAACAAAATAAAGAACCCAGAATCAAATTCACACACCTACAGTGAACTCACTTTCCACAAAGGTGCCAAGAACGTACATTGGCAAAAAAAAAAAGACAATCCCTTCAATTAATGCTGCTGGGAAAACTGGCTATACATATACAGAAGAATGAAACTAGACTCCTATCTCTGCCATATACAAAAATCAAATAAAAATGGATTGAAGATTTAAGTTTAAGATCTCAAACAATGAAACTGCTACAAGAAAACACTGGAGAAGCTCTCCAGGACTTGGGAGTGGGCAAAGATTGCTTGAGTAACACCACAAGCACAGGCAACCAAAACAAAACAAGACAAATGGGATCACATCAAGTTGCAAATCATTCACTGAGCTAAAGATACAATCAGCAAAGTGCAGAGACAACCACAGAATGGGAGAAAATATCTGCAAACTACTTGTCTGACAGGGAATTAATAACCATCCAGAACATATAAGAAGCTCAAAGAACTCTATAGGAAAAAATCTAATAATCTGATAAAAAATGGGCACAATATTTGAATAGATGTTTTTCAAAAGAGGACATATAAGTGGCAAAAAGGCAGATGAAAGGTGCTAAATGTCATTGATCATCAGAAAAATTCAAAGCAAGACTATAATGATATATCATCTCACCCTAGTTAAAATGGCTTATACCCAAAAGATAGGCAATAACAAATGCTGATGAAGAAATGGAGAACAGAGAGTCATTGTACACTTTTGGTGGGATTGTAAATTAGTACAACCATTATGGAGAACAGTTTTGAGGTTCCTCAAAAATTAAAAATAAAGCTACCATATGATTGATCAATCCTACTGCTGGGTATATACCCCAAAGAAAGGAAATCAATATATTGAAGAGATATCTGGACTCCTGTATGTTTGTTGAGATACTATTCACAATAGCCAAAAATTGGAAGCAACCTGTGTCCATCAATAGATGAATGGATAAAGAAAATGTGGTACACATGCACAATGGAGTACTATTCGCCCATAAAAAAGAATGGGATCCTCTCATTTGCAACCACATGAATGGAACTGGAGATCATTATGTTAAGTGAAATAAGCAAGGCACAGAAAGACAAACATTGCATGTTATCACTTATCTGTGGGATCTAAAAATCAAAACAATTGAGTAGAACAGTGGTTACCAGAGGCTGGGAAGGGTAGTTACAGGGAGGTGGGGTGGAGATGGGAATGGTTAATGCGTACAAAAAAAAAAAAATAGAAAGAATGAATAAGATCTATTTGACAGCACAGCAGAGTGACTATAGTCAATAATAATTTAATTGTACATTCTGAAATAGCTGAAAGAGTGTAATTTGATTGATTGTAACATAAAGGATAAGTGCTTGAGGAGATGGATATCCCATTCTCCATGATGGCATTATTATGCTTTCCATGCCTGTATCAAAATGCCTCATGTATCCCATAAATATTTACACCTACTATTTACCCGCAAAACTTAAAAATTGAAAAAATAAAAACCTGTAAGTTTTATCTCAATAACTAGATTGTAAAATCCTCGAGGACTTACACTTCTTTGTCTTGCCATTCCTGTTTACTCTGTCTACCTCTGTATTCACTCCATATCTTTAATAGGTAGTAAAAGTTGAAAAAAATGCAGTATTGTTTCCATTCACACCAAAAAAGAAATATCAAACATGACAATATCCACTAGATGTTTTTCTTCCTTTTCAAAGTGTAATATTCATTAGAACATTTCATTCTACATAAAAGTTACTTATTTTAGACCACATCTTATGTAAAATTGCTTAACAACTTGACACACTTCATTCCAATAGATGTTCTGGGTAAGCAGCAGTAGCAGGTGAATCTGAATGGTTGTGCCACAGTTAAAAGGAAGACTTCTTAATTGGCTTTCCTGGAGCAGATTATGCCTCTTAGAGGCTGAGCTGAACCTGGGATTTGGTCCTACAAAAACACAGCAGAGCAGCAAATTCAGGGATAATTTTTGCCTGTTAGTCTTAAGCAAAGCAATTATGAAATCATTTTTGAACCTGATATATTACTGAGTGTGTTAAAGGTGATCTTAGCGTGGACACTACATGGGCAGTTTTCTGCATTCAAACCACGTCTATGGAGATACCAAAGAGCTTCAGGGAAGACCAGATAAATTTCACAAGATTTTTAAAATTTCATTTTTCCTTCATAAATTTGAGAAGATTTTAACATTATTTTTCTTATCTTTGACTGTTATTTTGGAATATTCTGGTAAGATGATTTAAACATAAGTTTAAATGAAATTTGACTTTTAAAAATGCAATAATCAAGCTTACAAATCTCTCCTCCCCCCCTCCTACCCTTGTTAGGTATTATATTTTATTTGTACAAAGCCATAGCACACATTCCAAGCATTCTTTTCTGTTTCTTATACTTGAAATGAGTGTAATTGGATACTGAAATTATAAGCAAGGTTAATATATTAATGAATAATATATTTATTATTTTAGTAGGAATTTAAATATTTTGGGATAAAGAAGAAAAATTGAAAGCAACATCTAATCACACATTTATTTGGAGATAAATAATATGCATCTCACTTCCTAGGCTGAAGTGAGAAAATATTTTTGGTTATATATTTGCATAAAGAATAAACACTACATTCCAACTGAACAGTTCTTATTTATTACAATTCTCTAAATGAATCAAAACAAGACACATCTTCACAAAGTGATGGCTAGAACAATAATAATTGCTTAGAGATATGTCACAATTGATCTATTTTCACTGTAAGAGCACTCACTTTTAATAACAGCTATTTCAACATAAAAGCATTTTTTTTTTTTTTTGAGACGGAGTTTCGCTCTTGTTACCCAGGCTGGAGTGCAATGGCCGCGATCTCGGCTCATTGCAACCTCCGCCTCCTGGGTTCAAGCAATTCTCCTGCCTCAGCCCCCCGAGTAGCTGGGACTACAGGCGCCTGCCACCATGCCCAGCTAATTTTTGTATTTTTAGTAGAGACGGGGTTTCACCATGTTGACCAGGATGGTCTCGATCTCTTGACCTCGTGATCTACTCGCCTCTGCCTCACAGAGTGCTGAGATTATGGGTGTGAGCCACTGCGCCCGGCCAAAAGGATTTTTTCATGGACTTTGTAAATTAGGAACATGGTCATTGCTTATAACATAATATATCAGAAACATCTTGTATTTGATTCTTTTCATTTTAGATTTTTCTAGTACTGGGTAGTAAAAAGTGTTGTAGGTATAACTCATTTGACATGAAACGGGTATACTTTATGGAATACTGAAGTTGGATAAGCATTAACATTTCCGATTGTCACTCTAACACCAACAACTAAACACTGTAGGCTTTTATTTGAGTTTGCCTACAATATGTAGGATATATAGTGTATATCCCAATTGTGTCTCGGCTTTGCCATTAGTTAGTTGGAACAAGATTTGGGAATTGTGACATTTAATTTCTTTATTGAATTACCATGTTATATTGGATAAATTATTAGCTTTGCCCAAATTTTTCCATTTACAAACTTGATGTGATTATGTGACAGTTAAGCTAGGATTTATGTCCACTTTGGCAAAAAAAAAAAAAAAAAAAAAAGACAATCAAAAGTATAGTCATTATTTGCCTTTCTTTGTTCAGGGTTAGAATTTATGCTGAAGAATGAGTGATTGCAAGAACCCTACCATGGCCATGTAAAGGTGATAAACAATTACTGGTCTAGAGTCTCTCCGAGGATTTTTGTAACACAGTTAGTCACTTCTCCATTCTACAAGACTTTATTTTATTTTCTTGTGAGCTAGAAGAGATATATTGGTCAACTTTCCTAATTTATTGAGGCAGCTGAGGTTAGGTGGGTTGTGAAAACCACAATGATTCCGTGAAAGAGGGGACCAAACTTCAAGCTATATGACTCTTATCTGGTGCTGTATGCATTGAAGAATAGATTACTTGTTACATGTAAATAAATGTTTACAGATATCATGAAAGAAATGTTGACATTGAAAAGACTGTTATATTTTTTGTGCTTTTTGGTGGCTGCAGCAAGATTGACAGAGATGTCTTTTACCTCAGCCATCGTAAGTGAATGATGTTGTTAGCTATTGTAGGCAAGCTACTGCAGTTTGCTTATACACAATTGCTTCATGAGACATTTACTGGAAGAAGGTTGTTTTGACTTTCCTGTCACTTACACAAGTATTTTAAGATGTTCTGAGTCTCATTTATGATTCTTTGTCAGTGATTGCCATTAGCTATAATTTTTTTTCTGTTATTTGGTGCTTTTCCCTCTTGGGCTTTGTTGGCATTTTTATAATAAAGAGAAGAATTGGTCTCTGATATGGTGTGGATGTTTAAGCCCTCTAAATTTCATATTGAAATGTAATTCCCAGTGTAGGAGCTGTGGCCTGGCAGTGGGTGTTTGGATCATGGGGGCAGGTTCCTCATGAATGGCTTACTGTCCTCCCCTTAGTGATAAGGGAGTTCTTGCTTTGATTTCATATGAGATCTGATTGTTTAAAAGATCTCATGGCATATGGCATCTCCACCTACACCTTGCTTATGCTGTCACCATGTGACAAGCCAGCTGTTTTTTCCTTCTGCCACGACTGTAAGCTCCCTGAAGCCCTCACAAGAAGCAAATACCAGCACCATCCTTCCTGTATATCCTGGAGAACGATAAGCCAATTAAACCTGTTTTCTTTATAAATTACCCAGCCTCAGGTATTTCTTTATAGCAGTGCAAGAATAATAGCCTAACACAGTCTCACTCCTGAAGATAATACAAATTAATTAATAAATTTCAAGTAATATTCATAGGTCTCCCTCTTTATATATACAGGCATATTTTGGAGATATTGTGTGTTTTGTTTCAGACCATTGCAATAAAGCAAATATCGCAATAAAGGGTCGCTCAAAGTTTTTGGTTTCCCTGTGCTTATAAAAGTTATGTTTATACTATACTGTAGTCTATTAAGTGTGCAATTGCATCATATCTAAAAACACTGTATAGATTTTAATTTAAAAATACTTGATTGTTAAATGCTAATGATCCATCCTTTGAGCCTTCAGTGGATCATGATCTATTTGCTAGTGAAGGGTCTTACCTCAGTGTTGATGGCTATTGATTGATCATGATGGTAATTGCTGAATGTTGGGTGGCTGTGGCAATTTCTTTTTTTTTTTTTGAGACAAAGTCTTGCTCTGTCACCCAGGATGGGGTGCAGTGGCGCAATTTCGGCTCACTGCAACCTCCACCTCACAGGTTAAAGCACTTCTTCTGCCTCAGCCTCCCGAATAGCTGGGACTGCAGGCACTCACCACCATGCCTGGCTAAATTTTGTGTTTTTAATAGAGACAGGTTTTCACCATATTGACCAGGCTGGTCTCAAACTCCAGACTTTGTGATCCGTCCGCCTCAGCCTCCCAAAGTGCTGGGATTACAGGCATGAGCTACCTTACCTGGCTGGCAATTTCTTAAAATAAGACCACAATGAAGTTTGCCCCATTAATGATGTTTGTTCTTCCTTTAATGAAAAATTTCTCCATAGCATGTGATGTTGTTTGATAGCATTTTACTTATAATGTAACTTCTTTCAAAATTGTCAGCGATCCTTTCAAACCCAGCCACTCCTTTATCAACTAAGTTTATGTAATATTCTAAATCCCTTGCTGTCATTTAAACAGTCTTCACTGCATCTTCACCAGGAGTAGATTCCATCTCAAGAAACTACTTTCTTTGCTTACCTGGTAGAAGCAAGTCCTCCTCCTCCATTCAAGTTTTATCATGAGATTGCAGCAAATAGTCCTGTCTTCAGGCTCCAATTCTAATTCCCATTCTCTTGTTATTTCTCCCACATTTACTGTTACTTCCTCCATTGAAGACTTGAAGCTCTCAAAGTTTTTCATGCAGGTTGCAATCACCTTCTTCCAAACTCCCATTAAGGCTGATAATTTGTCTCCTCCCATGAATCATGAATGCTCTTAATAGCATCTAGAATGGTGAATTCTTTCTAGAAAGTTTTTAATTTACTCTGCTCAGGTCCATCATAGGAATCATTATCTATGACAGGTATAGCCTGTGAAATATATTTATTAAATAATAAGACTTGAAAGTTGAACTTACTCCTTGATCCATGGGCTACAGAATGGATGTTGTGTTAGCAAGTGTAAAAAATCCATTTATTTCCTTGTATATCTCTATCAGAGCTCTTGGGTGACCAGGTGCATTGTCAAATAACCATAATATTTTGAAAGGAATCTTTTTTTTTTTCTCTACACAGTAGGTCTCCACAGTGAGCTTAAAATATTCAATGCACCATGCCATAAACAAATTCGCTGTCGTCTAGGCTTTGTTAGATCTACCGGCAGAGTAGATTTAGCATAGTTCTTAAGGGCCCTAGGATTTTCAGAATGGTTAATGAACATTGGCCTCAATTAAGGTGATGACTTTAAGAGTCATCAGCTGCATTGGCCCCAACAAGAGCATCCATCTGTCCTTTGAAGATTTGAAACTGGGAATTGACTTTTCTTATTTAGCTCTGAAAGTGATAGATGGAATCTTCTTCCACTCAAAGGCTGTTTTGTCTACACTGAAAATTTGTTTTTTAGTGTAGCCACTTTCATCAATTATCTGAGCTAATCTGGATAACATGCTGCAGCTTCTCCCTTAGCACTTGCTGCTTCATATTGCACTTTTATATTATGAAGAAATCTTCTTTTCTTAAATCTCATGAACCAACCTCTGTGAGCTTCAGACTTTTCTTCCGAAGCTTTCTCACTTCTCTGAGCCTTCATAGAATAGAAGAGAGGTAAGACTTGCTCTGGGTTAGGCTTTGGCTTAAGGAAATCTTTCCTTTTGAACACTTAGAGTCATTGTAAGATTATTAATTGGCCTAATTTCAACATTGTATCTCAGGGAATAGAAAAGCCCTAGGAGAGGGAGAGATAGGGAAAGTGGGGACAACTGGTCATTGGAGCAGCAAGAACACAGAAAACATTGAGTAATTAAGTTCACTCTCTTTTATGAACGCTGTTCATGGTACCCCATAACAATTATGATGGTAACATAGATCACAGATCACTGTAACAGGTATAATAATAATGAAAAAGTTTGAAATATTGTGGGAATTACCAAAATGTGACACAGAGACAGGAAGTGAGCACATGGTGTTGGAAAAAAAGCACTTGACACTGAGTTGCCACAGACCTTCAGTTTGTACAAGACACACTATCTGTGAAGTGCTATAAAGCGAGGCACAAATAAAACACGGTTATACGCACACACACAGTAAGTGCTCACTTAACGCTATTGATAGGTGCTTGGAAACCGCAACTTTAAGCAACATAAAACCAACTTTACCATAGGCTAATTTGCATAGAAAAGCGGTAAGTTCCTACAGCGTATTTCTTGTCACAGAAATATCATCAAACTTCTAAGTAAAGACTCAAAACACTTTTAATGTTAAACATTGAAATAAATGTGAGCTATACATATATGCAAGAAAGATGAATAAAAACAAGTAAGATAATTATTTACCCAAGTTTTGGTGAAATCAGTGAGTGATGGTGGTTGTAGTGGCGGTGAGTTCAATCAAGGAATAAATGTTTGCAAAGTAAGAATTATACGGAGCACTTCCTATCACCACAGAGTTCAAAAACAAAAGATAAATATGGCAGGCTTGCTGAGCACTTTTGGACCCCATTGTTTGGTGTAGTGCATTTGTATGTTTAACAGTTTGCACATTTTTATTTTACAATAACTTAAATTCATTCATTTTCTAAACTGCTTATTCCCGTTCAGGGTTGTGGGTGGCTGGTGCCTATCCTGGCAGGTTGGGGGACAAGGCAGGAACCAGCCCTTGACAGGACTCCATTCCATTGCAGCCTCAGTCGTACACACACTCCGACACTCACTCCAACTTGGACATTGTAGATACACGAATTAATCTAATGTGCATGTCTTTGGGATATGGGAGGAAACTTGTGTCCCACGAGAAAACTCACACAGATGGGGAGAATGTCCAAACCCCACACAGACAGTGGCCCTGGCTGGAAGTAGATGTTTTTTTTTCTTCATCAGTGTGTGTGTGTGTGTGTGTGTGTGTGTGTGTGTGTGTGTGTGTGTACGTACTATTGAGGAAACAATGTCATGAAAGTAAGTAATTTTCAGTATAGGAGTCACATTATAGATAATCTATACAACCAAGCTGTTTTTTAAAGGAGAATTTGGATTGTTTTCGTGTACAGAAAACTCAACAATATACATTTAACCCAGTTTTCTGGCAAGTTCTTTAGCCTTTACCTTTTCCAGCTTGGCAATACAAGCCACAGATTTTGGACCCAGGATATTGTCTCCTCAGTACTGACCAATCTCATTGTATCTGTCCTTGTAGTTAGTCCTGATAGCTTCCACCAGCTTAGCCAGAGCTCCTTTATCTTCTGAGTTAACATGTGAAGGCAACAGTGGTACAAGTATTCTTGTGGACTGGATGTCTTTTAGGCTTGCCTTCTCTTGATAATGCAGTAAGGAACTCCCGTCTTGGGATACAGGGCAGATCTGTAGCAATCAGCTTAATGGGAACCACATCATGTGCAGTCACTAACATCTAAGCCTTCGTTTTTTCTACCAAGGTGGTGACAATGTTAACCCTTGCTCAAATGGCAGGTGGTATCTTAGTGAGGACATCCTCTTTGCCAGCAGCTTTCCTCTTCTCTTGCTTTGTCTCTGCTCTGTACTTGTGGATCATTTTCAGCATTTGAGTAGCTGTTTGGCAGTCCAAAGCCTAGGTGAACTGATTAATTGCAGAAGGCACTTCCAGCCGCTCATAGAGGATAGCTCTTTTTTGATACAACGAGATGTAGTGGGGCCATTTGACAAAAGAAGTCCCTTTTGAGATGCATGTCCCATCCAGTGCCAAAATTCTTATGCCTTTTCTCAAACAGGGGATTCACCACATTCTTGGCCTTCTGCTTTATGTTGGCAGGGACTGGAGGTACCTTCTCTGCCTTGGCCCTCTTTCCTTTCAGCAGCTTGGGTGGCTGGAGGAAGGAATAAGACCAAACATTTTGTATAAAGGACCTTATGGTATTTTATTGTAAAAAATCCTTTACAGACTGTAACTAAAAGAAACCCTAGTGGTCCTTTACATCACATAAGGAAAATGTATTGCAGATGTCAGTGATTCCCTCATTGTCCTTATGGAAGACTTAGCAAATCACCCATGACACTCTACTTTTGTCCAGAATCAGCCTCATAATCTTTCTTAACACAGTGCTTCAGCCAACCATTATCAGTTGATTGTAATTGATGTGAGAGATGAAGTAAGTGCTACGTATAATCTAGTTGACCTCTCATTTTTCACAAGAGGCAACTGAGGCCCAAAGAGGCCAAGGACCTTAAAGGACACTGTCATAGCAGAAATTAGAGGTGATGCTCCCAGATTTTAGTTTCAATGTTGTTTTTACTCTATCATCTACTCAGTGAGCAAACAAAATGGCATGGGTATGAAATTTCCATGCCCTTTTAGAATCAGCCTTATTCAATTTTCTAATCTTCAGGTTTCTGAGTTATTGCTATTATTATCTGACCTGTCTCCAGTCCTTTGAAATGGGGACAAAAAAGTACAGTTCCTTGAAGAGCATTTAAATCCCACCCAGCATAAAACCAGCTCACAGATTATATGAGCTGTTGATGATAAATATTATGTATATCAAACTGCAATTACCATAAAAATACAGAAAGAAATCTTAACATCCCAATGTAACTGTAAATCTAATAAGAGCAACAACAGAATTTCTTAGAGAAAAAAGCCGCATTGGCCTGTTTTTATTTTTGATCCTACCTTATTATCTGGGTCAACTGGGAGGTTTTTAAGAACATCAGCCATTTTAGTTTTAGTTCTATTTGGTCATCAGAAGCTTATGATGACCTAGTGCAGTGAAGGAAATACATGACTAATTGTTTTCTCATTCTTTAATTCCATGAATACTTGAAGAACAAAGGAAATGAACATACTAAGCATCTTGCATTTGAAAGCAGTCATGCTTACACTTTTCACTGCAGTACACTTCAATAAAGTATGTAGACTATTCTTTTCTGATTTTTACTATCTAAAACTGAATCCCCCTCCTTCCTCTCTACATTTTTGTTGATTTATATATTGACTGTACGAATCATAGG